ACAGAGAGTAAGTGGATTTCTCTGGTAGAAGAGTTGAGGTTAGACCTACAAACTAGCCGCACCTTGTCTGAAAAACGAAAACAAGAACTAGATTTGGAAAAGAAATGCTCAGAAGAGCTGAAAGAAGCAATGCAGAGGGCAATGCAAGGCCATGCACGAATGATTGAACAGTATGCTGAACTTGAAGAGAGACATATTCAACTGCTTGCAAGGCATAGGAGGGTCCAAGTTGGTATAGAGGATGTTAAAAAAGCAGCTACAAAAGCAGGAGTTAGAGGTGCTGAATCTAAATTCATAAATGCTCTTGCTGCAGAAATTTCAACTCTGAGAGTGGAGAGGGAAAAGGAAAGACACTATTATAGGGATGAAAATACAGAACTTCAGAACCAACTTAGGGATACTGCTGAAGCGGTACAAGCAGCTGGGGAATTGCTTGCACGGCTTAAAGAAGCAGAAGAAGATATTGCAGCTGCTGAGGTAAGAGAATCCATTGTTTTCCTGTTACAGTTTATTCTATCAGTACATATATTGTCGTTGCAGCAGTTGAACATTCTTATAGTCAGCTAGACCATATATTGCTTGCTGCAGAAGTTGGATATTCTTATATTCAGCTAGAGACTAGTAACTCCTCTTAGCACCTTTACATCCATCTCTCTCTCTCTCTCTCCATTTTTCATATGGTTTGGCATGAGATTCTGGACCAATGACTATTCAGTGTTCAAATGATGGACTTGATATCCATATTCTGGTTTCTCATTAAATAAAAAGAGTTCTGGGAAATGCTTTAATTGAAAAGTTATAGGAAAAATGGATGCAATATTGATTGGTAGAGACGGTGCGCTTGAATGATCAACATCTTTTTGTGTAAAAGAAATTCCATTAATATTCCAAGGGAGGACCATTGCATGAACTCTGCACATCACACAATAAGTTTACACATAGATTAAGGTTCACGTATGCTCTAGAAACAAAGAAGCATCTCCGATACCTAAATCAACTCGTAGGAGCAACATGACTTGTCAGGAAGTATGACCTTGCTGTTTATCCCATGCACAAGGAACTGGGACAACGTATCGTGTTATACATGTGCCTTCAAAGTACATTATTATTTTGTGTCACTGGTCTATTTCTAAATTTGCCTAACAAGTTTTGGAAATATGCAGAAACGAGCCATTCATGCAGAGAAAGAAGCTAGCGAGGCTAATAAACAGATTCTCAAATTGAAGAAAAAACACGAGGAGGAGATCAACAGTTTAAACCATTTACCAGAAGAACCCCGTCTACCTAAAGCTACATCAGAACCCGTATATGATAATACTGAGACAGGACACGATGATCAGTGGAAAGAAGAATTCGCGTCATTCTACAACACCAAAGAGGAGGAGGAGGATCTACCAAAATTTGGAGAGCCCTCTTCTTGGTTCTCAGGGTATGACAGGTGCAATGTATAGATTGTGGAAAGTTTTCATAGATTGTTGTTTGTTGTATGTATTGATAATAGTGTCATATATAGTTTGAAAAGCTATCGCGTTTTCTTCAAATTTGATGATAGTTATTGATAAACATAAACAATTGTGAAAATAACAAACTTGAATCTATCAAGTTTGTGTATCCATTTACTCATTGCTTCATAGGTATGAAGTCAATTCCAAACAATTTGTTCTATTGTATTTTGAAGATTCATACTTCGTTGCCCATAATTTTATTTTTTATAATCGTAGTGTGCTGGTTAGCTAATTCACATAATTTTTTTGTTGGCCTATTCCTAGTTAGTCTTTTACTTGCTATTGTAAATAGATAATTGACATAATATTTGCTTATTTGTGGTTATTGGGATGGTCCAAAGATGTTGGATAATAGCCATTTGAATTGAATAATAACATGTTATAGTCTCAATCTCAATTCCTCTTTTTTTTTTGGGATTAATTATATGATATTTAAAGTTCATCGTCCTGATTAATTTGAATCCACGTTGAGGGCCACTAAGAAAGAGATTATATACTTGCGAAGTTCACAAATATCCACTTTTCAACACGTGTTCGAAAAATAACAAGTGTTATGAAGCTTCAAATTTTCAGAACATTGTCATGGAGTTCCACTTGTGGAGTTTGAAACTTCATGATAATGCCAAAAAGTGGTCAGCGGGGCGCTATTTTATTTCTATGGTCTCTACTGACATATTCTTTATTTTCATGGATTGATTCTGAGACTTCTAATTAAGAGTGGAGGGATTCCAATTTAACCATATACTTCTTCCATTTCAGTTTATTTATTTTAGTTACTATTTTGACAATCAAATGATATTTTCTTTGACTTTAATTTTTCTAAATACTTTCTAAGTAAATATTTCGAATCGTTGTGACTTATAATACTTTTTATGTTGTTTCTAAATATGTAAATTTTATCTCAAAAACATCGACAATTCTATGTCTGAATTGACAAAAAACATCAGTTTGACTCTCATACTCTGAATCAAGCCAAATAAATCGAAATAGAGAGTACATTATAGTGTAAGAGCATCGCAAATTTTCCAAAATCTCCATTTTCTTCTTATTTAGAATAAAAAATGATTGGGGTGGGGTCCATAATAGATACATATATACTCTACATATACACTTTGCTTCATGTATCAAAGTAGGGCCAGTTAAGTTTTAAATGTAATCATTTTATTAATTCCATAGGAGGAGCCAGACAATCAAATAGATTAATTTACAAGAATAAATCTTTATAATGATACTAATGTTGAAACATTTTTTATCTTGTCAGAGCAAGATATGATTTATAATTAACTTTGTATCATCTTGTTTTTTTTATTTTATATTATAAAGAAGAAAGATATATTATTTGAACAAATTCCATCAACCTTGAGATAGCCAAAATCTTGAGATATTGCTTAGAGATATGAAAGATTGATAATGATTAATGATATTAAATTTTAGAGTAAAAAATATATATAGTTGGTGAAAGCAAAATGATGTGTTTGCTATTTAGTAGGTAGCTGAGTATTATCGGGGATTAAGTAGAAGGTTAATATGTAGTTGAGTATTGTTTTAGTTTAGTTTGTGTGGAAGAGGCCGGGGCTAGCCGCCTCCTATATTCTTCTCCTTTGAAGTAGTATTATTTAGTTATCGTTCACCTAATTTTTTATTCTTCAATATGTATTACTATCTGTTGTTGCAGTTGTTTTATATTTTGCTAGTTTATTGTTTAATTTTTCTTGCAATCTCACGTCTAATACTCTTCTTTTGAGCCGAGGGTCTATTAGAAATAACTTCTCTATCCCACAAAAATAGAGTTAAGATCTACACACATCCTATCTTCTTCGGACCCTATTTACGAGATTACATTGGATATTATTTTATTGTTATTGTATCTGACATTCAAAACTAACCGATACGATTAATTGAAATTGTCCCAAATAAGGCCACGAAGGATCTAACGACCAGGTAAAATATTTCCTATCAAAAATGTTATTCGTCCCTTGACTCATGTTCATGATATCTAATTAAGGGTAATAAAATTTCAATCATTCCACCGCTTAAAGTCAAATGTCATACCAAACCTTAAGTTGAAAGAAAGAGATATAAAGTGATATAGAAGGTATGATAATTCCAAAAAATTATTCATAATGCCATAGTAATTATAATTATCGAAGACGCTCTGACATGTTGAAGATATTAATTAAGTAAATAATCACTCGCCAACTTTATTTTTTTCTTTTTTCATTGTATTTTATTGTTTTTGAAAGAAAAAAATATTACTTATCTATTAAATTGATCAATTTCTTTCTGGTTAAAAAATCACTTTCTTAGTTGGTTTGCATTATTAGCTTACGTAGTTTAACTTGTGATAGCAGAGTAATCATCATTTTTATTAGATAATATTTTAAATGTTTATGGAGTACATAGATTTATAAATGTATTTATCTTATAAGTGACTTAATTAATTGAATATATATTTTTTAGATAATTAGTGCATAAATTTAAACTCTCAAATACTTTTTTAATTTATGGACCCTAATTGTTTTCGTTATTTCCGGAGTTAATCACGGAATGCCATGATTAAGCATCATAACTTTTTTTGAATCAAAGTCTATAATTAAAGTAATTTAATTAAATAAGGAAAAAAATTGCAACCTTTTTCTCACCAATCTAGTTGACTTTATAGTATAGGAAGATTTATATGTATTTATATATTTATTTATTCTTTTTGCTAGAATCATTTTTATTATAGTGTTTTAAAAATGAAATATATTAATCAATTTGTTTAACTTTATATACATATATGAAATGAAACTATCAATATTTGGGGGCAAATAAAATTTCCATATATTCGTTAAATAAATTTAATTGTAAAAAACTTGTAATTTGTTAAATTCTTATGTTTTTATAAGTATCTAGTTTTTTCTTTTGAAGAATTAAGAAACTAATGACCAAATCGAAATCGAAATCGAAAATGAAAATTAGAATATTTGATCCTCGTTCTCAGAACTCATTTATTTTTCTTGAAATAAAGGGAACAAGAAATATAAAATAGACGTAATATCATATATATAATAAAATAATAAAAATTGTTTTAAATTTCGAATCATGAATTTTTAGATAAGACTACTAGTAAAAGCAAGATGTATAGTGATGTTGTTTATTTTCACCTTATGTATGTGTATATGAATAAATATAGTCTCCTTTTGTAGAAATATCAGTCGGATTTCAAAACGAATATAAGACACCAAGAGGAAAATAAAAATAAAATGTAGGTATGTGCCAGAGAAAAATAAAAAAGGAAATTCAATGTCATAAAGTCTCAATGAATTAGTAATAAAAATTACATTGTTAATTAATTAAGTACAAAATAATTTACAAGTGATCAATTTGAGTTGTAACATGCACCCCATGTGGTGTATGAAATTGCCTATTAATTAAATAATAACAGTCCCATACGGGGAATAATTAATGATAATCATCATGATTATCCAAAGTAATCATTAAACAAATCAAGAATTGGAAGTGAAAAATGAGCTCCATCTTCTTTTTTCCCCTTCTTGAATCAAAGAACAACAACATACTCGGTGTAATCCTATAAGAGGGATCTGGAGAGAGTAGGTCGATGTATGCATACATCACTCCATCGATCTTTACAGGATAGAAAGACTATTTCCAATAGACTCTCGGCTCAAACGAATGCTAAAGTTTTATCAAATGGTCTTTTCTTCATAGTTCAGCCTTCATTTGTGCTGTGGGCACATTGCCTACATTCAACAAGGCACAATATTAGATTTAATTACACTATTATGTCACTCATCAAGTAATTAGTTTTCTATTGTTCCGACTTTTCAAAAATACTGTCAGATATGTGTTGGATTCTCCGAAAATGCATGAAAACTATCGCATGTATGTCACATCCTCCAAAAATACATAACAACAGAGGACTAATAAGCAAAAATGTATAGCAATATCGGACTAATACATTTTTGGAGGACCATAACAAATTAGCGTAAAGAATCGTTCCGTTGTTTGTGTATATAAGTTAAATCCATAAGATTATATATATACTAACCATGATAGTTCTGTGCTTGAATTTGGCCAAACCCCATATGGATAAAACTATGAAGATCATGATCTTCAAAGAATGTTGCAACCTAAAAAAAATAATCAAATCAACCTTGTTTAAGAGAAACTAGAAAAAAATAATATTTTTACAACATTATTGCTACAACCTATGTTGCTCGGACTTTTTGAAAATGTGTGTCAGAATCTTTAAAAGTAATGCATTTTCGGAGAATCTGACACAGATATGACAACATTTTTGAAAAGTCTGAGCAACATAGGTCACCGTTCCTAGCTATTCTTGATTACCTGAGGTGTTTGTTCCACAAAACCATCCAAATGAGGATTAACTTTAAATGGAAATTCTGTTTCTTTAGGTAAGAAACTCTGTAAATTTGGCCCTTGTTGAGATTGGAATCCATATGGAAATTCTTGTATTGTGGATTCTGATGAATTCATGTTATGATGCAACGATCCGACGGATTGAAACATCTAACGTGCAAAAGAAATTTTATGCTATCAGATCAAGTACAAGATAGATTAACAACTCGAAAAATGAAGGCATGTAATTAATCTACTATGTACAACGACTTAAAATGTACTAATAGTGTGAATAGTATCATGAGTTGTATGACTTACATTCTTAGATGTAAGAGATTCCGCGTTGAAGTCAGTTGTTGGATTCATATTAGATAACTTCATCGAGAGGAACTACATGAAAGTACACAAATATTGAATTCAACTTAGTTACTATCAAAAAATAGCTAATTACAAATAAGCCAATTTTCGACGAATTTTTGAAAACTCTAAAACAAAAAATAAAATATAAGTAATTTACCTCAACTTGACATTGTAGGGATTGTACATAGTTAATAATCTCATCAAGCATCACAGCTTTTCCAGTCACCTAAATAATAATTAAAAAAATGAAACTACCATATCAAAATTTTGTATATTTTCTCTTAAAATCAACGGAAAAAGGTCAAAAATGTCCATGTCATCAATAATAAATAAAGCAAGTAAATTCACTATTTACTTTATTGCATCCAGGTACAAGATCTTGTAAAAACTTCATTCTTTCACCAATTTTCTCTCTTCTCACCTATCCAATATTCAAAAGAATTAAGTAAAAAATAAATAAATAAAAATATATCAAAACAATTTTAAAACAATTTTAACAAAATTTAATTATTTTTTCTAAATTAAAAAATACCCTCTCAGCAAGACTATGTGCATCTGTGGCTTGACCCCTTCTAGCTCTAACATGAATATAATCCTTTAATGGTTCTTGAGGCTTTTGATTTTCTTCATTTTTGTCATCAGTTTTGACTTTTTTGGAACTTGATTCATTGTTTTGTGTTGAAACCTGCATAGAATTAAGTAACGAAAAACGTGAATGGAGATTGGATTGATGATAAAACAGAATCCTGAGTCACGAACAATAATTCGATTGATGATGAAGAAAGAGAATTCTTGGTTCAGTTCCCAATCTTAACAATAGAAAATAGGATTGATTCAATGATTGTAAAATTCTATGAATGGATGATCACAATCAAGTCACTTTATTTGTAAATTATGTGGTTCAGACTCTTCAAAAATGTCATCAGGTGCATTTTTTGAGGATCTGACACATGCACAACATTTTTTGTTTTTATACTGTTAGTGTATATAACTGAAATCATATCAAAATCAAGAATTGAAAAAAGAGAGTTTATAATTACATTATCATCCTTGGGAGTGATTTCTTTAGCTTTCCTCTTTGGAATTGATTTCCCCTTCTTGGAATTTGCATCATTTGGACATTTAATTCCAATTTCTTCAAGTTGGATTTGTTGAGAAATTGAAGAATTCTCTCTTGAATCTCCAAATTCACTTTCTTTGACATACTTATTTCTTGAAAGTTTACAACTTTCCAAATTTTGGACAAATTTTGTTTCATTGCCAACCAAATTGTTGCCACCAAAACAAGAAAAATTTCCAAGATTAGCAGAAAAATGTGGCAAATTATTACTAATATTTGGAAAATTTCCCTTGATTTGATGATCAAAGTTGGAAAGATTGAGTCTTGGAGGAGAATTCAATGGAGTAGTATAACAAGAATTGTTATTACTATCAACAAAAGAATTTGGTGAGATTTCACCAAAATTATCTCCAAAATTGTTACTATTACTAGACAAAATATTGTCATTTTGATAATCCATTGAAGAATTCTCCCAATTAGGATTGTAAAAATTAGTACTAGTACAATTCAACTCATTCATTGTGTTGACATTGTTCAAGAACAAATTTTTCTTGTCCATTTAGTACATGTGTGATGTGAAGTGACTAACAAATTAAATCAAGAAAACAAAAACCCCACAAATTGTAATTGAAAAAAGTGAAAACTACAAGAAGAATTTAGTTAAAACAAAGAAAAAAAAGGTGATTGTGACTTTTGGTATTTGAATTTCACTTAAATGAAAAGGGAAAGGAAAGTAGAGAGGAAAGTGTAGGAAAGTGGAAAGGAAACAAAGTGGAGAAGATAAAGAAAGTGAAATGTGTGTGTAACCTTTTCAAATTAGAATAAAAAAATGTTTTATATTTAAAGATGGTCGTGATGTTCAAGTCAGTTTGTATATACTTTAGCTAAATTTATAAGGTAATCGCTATAATCCGCTATATAAGTATTAGGTGATTCTGTCCATCAAGATTTGAATACATAAGAATAATTTATCCACGTTAGTATCTGAATAATATTCTTATTGCTTCATTTCATTTATGAGTTTAAGCTCTATACACTGATATATAAGAATTAGTCATAGAATCAAGTGACTTATAACTATTCTTCATTTTTACTTGTCACGTTTCACTTTTTAAAAGTCAAATTGTATAATTTTTGACTAATATTTTAATATATGTATTTTTCATTATATAGTATATGATGTTTATTTTTTCTTAATTATTTTTGCAAGTGTGCATATGTAATGTGTATATATAACTATATAATATACAAAAAAATTTCAAAACAAAAAGTCCGTAAAAACCGGCGGCGGTGCGGAGGTGATCGGTGACGGAGTTGTCTGTTTAGAGATTGCTGGACCTTTAAGGTCAAACTTGCTGATGTTTTGTTTGTTAGATGGTGATGTAAAAATCAAAACAACAATAAAAAATTATTCGCGGTGGCGGAGTTAGAATTTTGAGTAAAAAAATTAAAATATGAAGAAGTCAAAAGCGTTCGACATCTATATATATATATATATATATAAAGTAATTTTAATCATATATAAACAGTGTAATTTTCTATCGAAAAAAGTTGAGATGAACCTTTCAGGTTTTTTGCCCTTATTAGCTCCGCCCCTTTTTTTCATTTTGAGAGTTCATATTCAGGTGAAAGGACGATAACCTTCATTTTGATTCACTATCAGAAAATTTCTAATTTTTAACTGAATTCGTCAAAATTTGGTTAATTTGTCGATAACATTTCAGACAAGCCAAATTCCGATAGGACATCTCTTAGAAATTAGCTAAATTTCAATTGTACTAAACCAAAAGAACAACAATTATGCCTCGTTCCAAATAAGTTGAAATCGACATATATATACATATGAATCTTCACTGATCATGTTTCATTATTTAAACTCGACTCATATCATTATCATATCAAACAAACTATACAAATTTAAATAAATAAAATAAAATATATTAGTAATAATATTAGAAAAAATATCTTTTTGTGTGTGGAGTTGCTAGGAAATAGGATTGTGGTGGTTAGTATATACAGGCAAAAAAAACCCTGTTATACTCTGGCATTTTTGTCTAATATGGTGTTTAGTACCATTAATGATTAATGACCAGTTAAAAAAGTTAAATTAAAGAAAATAACTATTTTTTCCCTGGTTAATTCTCTAAAAAGGATCTTTTTAATTAATTAATTAAAGAAAGGATGAGTCAGAGGTTTTAGTTTAATTATTAATTAATCAAGTGGAACATGGAGAAAAGTGGAGATCACAAATAAATAAAAGATCCCTTAGAAATTTTTAAATATTTGTTCTATTTAATATCAATTTTCTATCTGACATGATTAAGATCATAAATTAATAGACATTTTGATATATTTTACATATCTACGATTTAAAATTCATAATAGTTGAGAATATTCTTTACTTTTTAAATTTTTATATAAATTAAAATCAGATAAACAAATTAAAATGGACGGAGGTGTTGGTGAGTTTTGCAACTCACTATACATTCAATGAAATGGAAGTGTCAGAGAGTTGTTGACAATTATTTGCCAAGTAAAATAGTTGTGTAATAAATTGAATAAAATATTTTTTTAGTTTGAAAAATTAATTGTGTTTGGTTGAAAGAAAAATAAATTACAACATGAATGTAGAATTATGTGAATAGAAAATAACAACAGAGTCGTTATGTCTCTTCTTACTAGTTTTTCTTTTTCTTTTTTGGTAATTATTGCTCTATTTTATTTTAATCTTTTAAAAAGAATGATTTTGAAATTGTTGGAGTGATGGCCACATGCCTCAAGTATTTTTTTCATAGATTTTTTTCTTTTAATTTTTGTTTATAAAATAAATTAATATTCCTCCTTCTTCAATGTTAGGGTGCTTAATCAAATTTTATATGTATCAAATTGCTATCGAATCAATAAGATATCAATTAATTAAGTTCAGCAATTGCTATTCATCGATTTGGATTAGGTTATCGGTTAATCATTTATCCAATATAGAAGAGTAGCTTTTATGAACTCTACTAGTGACTTCTCATTCAACGGCCTGAACTCATCAAATGTCGTGTTATTGGCAACAAAGATTACCGTTGGTAGGTTGTGGCGATGGTAGTGATCCATTATTTATAATATCTGAAACACTTTCAAATTGTTAATTCAATACTCAGATACCAATAATTAAAAAAGAACCTTTTTATTTGAGTTATTGATTATGGTTCAATTTTGCATCCTTACTCGATGTAGCGATAAATGTGCAATGGTTTACTTATTTCAAGTTTTTGTCTCGTAAAGTTCTATCTCATTTTATTCAAAAGTTTAAGCAGTTTAAAAAAACATACTTTTATTTATTCAATTATATCTCCAACATCGATAAGTCGATTACTATTAGTTGTATTCATCACTGATTTTTTTTTAATTATATAAAATTACTATATTATGATATATAAGACATCAATTTAGAAAAATATTATTAAAGATAACAAAGATTAATTTTTGAAAATAATTCAATACAAAGAAAGAACACAAAATTTCTTCTTTAATCAAAGTTTGAAAAAAAAATCATTTTTGTAAATAATATGAATGATTAAGCAAGGATTAGATTTTTTTATTTGATTTAATTAATTCAAATTCAGACAGGAGTGTCAGATATTATTAGATTTTTAATTGCAATAATTTTATTTTAAGACATCTTATTTTAGTACTCAATTATTGCCAGATTTCTTTAACTTTTTATTTAATTAAAAGAGACAAATAAACAAATGAATTATAACCTTAAAGTCAAAATAGTAGATTAAAAGATCAGAAAACAAGTTACTTCTGACTCATTAAAGTTAGCAAAAAAGGTACATAAAGGTAACTTGTGGTCTACAAATTTGGATAATTTTAGGGATGGTTACTTTAACTTTTATTTTATTTCATGACCAATGGTCCCATCGACGTTGAGGTGCGAAAGCAGAAAATTAGATACTATGGTAGTATGTTTATGACGTAAACGATGAGTGTATCAGTAGTTTAGCTAACGTGTGAGCCCCGTAACTATATATAGCTATCAAAGAGTGATATGATGAAAGGCTTTTCGAATGGGATCTTTGTCACAAAAAGGAATGAGGAGATTAAACTCTCGAATGAGACTATTTAAGTAGCTACTGACACCCTTGACCTATTTTGATCAAGACAAAAATAGGATAGGGTTTGGGTGGCAAGCATTGGAAGAAATGCAAAAGCAGTCCAGACTGGTCTGATGCACTAAGCTATTGCTATGCGTGTGGTGCAAAGAAGACTGAATCACAACGGTCTATTGTACGGAGTTTTACCCTGAATTTCTGCGAGAAGTTGTTTCCATAGCTCAAACTCATACATGACCTCTTATTCACATGACAACAACTTTACCAGCTACGCCAAAATTCTCCTTCCATTGTAACAACATTTTGTAATTGAATTAAACTATGAAAAATACTAGTTTACAATGAAATGTAACAACTAATATATAATTTTACAGAATTTATTAAGCTAATAAAAAAAATGCATACTGATCTTCTAACTGCTACTGATACAGCTCTGATCTTCATAATCTGTTGAAAAAGAAAAGGTTCCAATAAGTTAATTGTTAAAAAATGTTGTACTACTACAACAACAACAACGTACCCAATGTAATCCTACAAGCGGGGTCTTGGGAGGGTGGAGTATACGCAGCCTTCCCCTACCTTGTGACGGTAGAGTGGTTGTTTTTGATAGACCCTCGGCTCAAATAAAACATATCAAATCAGGTATGAGATTTTATAGAACATGTAAAGGCCTTCATAAATGCCTATTTGTATCCCTGTCGTTACACAAATGACTCAGATATGTCCTTTCCACCTTCTACGACACACTGTTTTCAAACATATATGACGAAAACCATCTAAAACACTAGCTGGAACACTCTCTAGATAACAAGTTAAATTGAAAGACAGTTGTATGGTAAATGTTTGTAAGATTAACATTGTATTCGGGCAAGCTTACACGCACTTCGACTAATTCCAGGAGGTACTTGCTACTCTCCATTAGCATAAGTACTAGGTAACTCTATCCACCATCACCTAGCGTTTTTGAACATGAGACCTCATAGGTCTCATCCTGAAGTCATTAGGTGATTTCTTTCCATCGGTTTGGCTTGGACAGAGTTATCTGGTACCATTAGAATTAGTCGAGGTGCACATAAATAGTATTTTAAACCTTGGTGCTGTTTCAAAAACTTTTACCGTTAAAAAGGAAGTTCGATAAACATAAGAATTGAATTCAGAGTTTTGAAATGAGACTTTGAATGTTCATAGTTGAATTTTATGATTTGTGTACCTGATGAATTGTAGTTCTGTCTGATGGATAAAGATCTCGAACTCGGAATTCTGATAATCTTCAACTTGTGTTTCCCTGATATCCCTCGCCGACTTGTCAACATTTTCATTGCAATTCCTTACCTCAATGGACTTCAGAGAAGAGATGTCTCCGAAACAAGAAGGAATCTCCTTAAGAAATACACAATCACTCAAAACCAAGCGTTCAAGGTTAGCAAAGGAATCCTCCGCAACAGTCCATTCTTCAAAGTGAGCTTGTCCAGCATGTAATTTCAAGGCTCTGAGCTGAGGGAACTCGCCATCGCGTACTTCCCACTTACAAGTTTCAAAGGAAATACCTTTCAGTTTGAGCACTTGAAGGTTCTGAAGTGAACCAATTTCTGATAAATGCTGACAATGTAGGTAAAAGTTCTTCAGTGTCAAGTTTTTGAGATTTGGCACGGAGATGCAGAAGGGCATTGTTATAATGTCAGGTGTGTAGATAAGATGAATCTTCAGCGTTTCAATCCGTGCTGGAAAGTTCAATACATAGTACTGAAAGTTGTCAACACCTTTGACTTTGCATCTCAGTTCCCGAAGATTAGGTGTTTTTCTCAAAATCAATTCCACTTCCTGAGCACAAGAAAAACATGGAGAGGAAAGAGTTTTCAGATCATGAAGGTCTTTCGAGTTCTCGATCAATTCTTTTGCAATTTCACTGATGAAGCTGCAATTGGAAATATGCACATGTCTCAATTTATCCATCTCCCAGAGTGTAATGGGTAGTGACATCCCATTAAGAGATTTTAATTTCAGAGTTTCAAGTTCCTGACAACCGGCTTCGTTTGAAAAGTGAGACGTTTCTGCAGCAAAATACCTGAGGCAGACTAGATCAAATGAGAAAGAACTGATTCTAGTGAACTCCATATCTAACACTTTTAGAAACTTTAAGCTGTGAAAAAGTTGGGATTCGAGGCCAAATGAAAGGCGATTGTTATGCAAAATTATAGAGACAACATGTGACAAGCACGAGCTCCAATCTCCAGAACGATACCCTTCACCATAAATGCACATGCGATGAGCTAGTTGCTTGTGACCAGAAAGGCGAGAAGACGGATTGTCATTTTGATCCCTACAAATATATACAGAAATTAGTAAAATTATAACTTGAACACTTCATTAGTTTGAGCGAAAAGAGTAGCAATGATTGGTATATTACCATTTTTGCCATAGGAGACGCATATCGTCCTTTTGCTCTCTCCTTGCAGAAATCATGCAATAGGTCATGAATGCGACATGCTTTGATCTTACCACGAGAACTCCTCTTGGTTCCCATCACTAGATTTCTTCCAATAAGATTTTCCAAATAGCCTTCTGCTATATCCTCCAAGCTCTTGCCTTCACAACTTTTTACGAATCCTTCTGAGATCCACAACTGTGTTAACTTCGGAACACTAATCACACTATCCTCTAAAAGTGCTCCAAAGTAAAATCTGATAACTTTGTTCTATAACGGTCCTTGAGTCTTTGTGAATGTGAGGACCTAAATTGTTGGCCAATTGTTCCCAACATTCTACTTTCTTCTCCATCTCAGACAGAATACCAGCCACCAAAACAACTGAAAGAGGCAGTTGACCACATTTTTTTGCTATTTCTTGCCCAATTTCTGTTAGGAGTGGAGAGCAACTTTCTTCACCAAACACTTTTTTTCGGAGTAACTCCCAACTTTCATCACTGTTAAACATACGAAGCAGAAGGGGATCACTTCGAATTTTAGTGTACATGGCAACTTCATGATCCCGCGTTGTTAGAATAATTCTACTTCCGTTATTGGAATCACGGAAAGAACCTCTTAGATCATCCCACACACTAGTTTCCCACACATCATCAACAAGGATGAGATATCTTTTGGAAAATAAAGTTTTGCGAAGCAGATAAGCTAATTCATCAGCTTGTTTTTCTCTACACTCAAAGTTCTCACTGATAGCACCACGTAAAATTGCTATTAACAAGTCCTTACATGAATATACTTGAGACACACAACACTGTGCACGAATTTCAAAGTGCGAAGCGACTGACTTGTCATAGTAGAGTCTGTAGGCCAAAGTTGTCTTGCCTAGACCTGGCATACCAACAACTGATATAACATCGCGCTCTTTCGTGCCTTTTATTAGTTGGTCTCTTAACTTTTCTATGACATCCTCAAAACCAATAATTTCTTCATTCATCATTGGAGACCTTGCCAAATTTGATGTATTAACTGGAACAGTGTTCAATGCATCCAAATCCATTTTCTTTTCACGAATCTCTGCTACCTCTGCTCTGATAAGAGTAATCTCCTCCATGATATGTAAGATCCAATGCTCGAGGCACCAGACAGGAGCTTCTTCGCTTATACAAGCATCAACTATGTATTCCACCTCATGTGCTTTGCCAATCAATTGTGTAGCACAATGTTGAATTTCGTCGAGGTCATTGTTTCGCTCTTCTGCAACAACCTGTAGAAAAGGTTGCAAGTTCTCAAATTCCTTCTGAAGTAATTGAAGTTTGTCCATGACAGAAGCTAGTGAATCTGACTGGAGGATTTGGAACTTCTTCAGGTTGTTTAAAAGGCAATCAACAAAGCCTAGTCCATGAATCCTAGGCAAATTAGATTGGAACGCCTTCCGAATGGTGAGGTATATGGCTATGCTTAGACGTTGAATGCTGCTTGAAAAATCAAGCACTTGTGTGAGGTTCACTCCTCCCGGTGCCTCATCTTCATATAATGAGTATACCAGAAGTCCAACATCAATAACCACAATCTCTATATCTCGAAGAAGAAATTCAAGATCTTTTATTGGCACACGGAAGATATTGGCTCTCAAAAGGTTGAGCATCTTTTGAAGGATTTCCAAGTGATCCTTCAAAGCAACTCTCTGACTAGAGTTACTATTAGTTGGCACCTCCACCAAATTTTGTACGATGGTCTCCAAAAACGTGCCTTCACTGTCAATTGCATCCTCACTTCCGATGTTGGTACACCATTCTGATTGTATTGTCGCTTTAATGATAGCAAGACATCAACATAGATCTTGCGGATGCATGGTTGAATTGGCTTAATCCTCATTCGCAAGAAATCAGAAAGTATAACATTCATTTGCTCTGGAGCCAAGTCTGGTAAATACATCCAGATAAGCGTTGATATGTGGCCGGACACAGCTAAAACATGAGCGAGGAAATTAACATGATGTTGGCTCTGAGGCTCTATGAACCTCTCTGCAGCAAAGCAGACAAAATTTAGCAGCAATTTCAATTCCTTTGAAACATCTTCTATATGTTCCAATACTGTTTCGGGAATATAAAGAGGTGAATATGGATCATGAATCTTCACTAGACCGCCAATATTCTCTAGCACAGAATGGATGATATCCTTAACAAACTTGGCTGGAAGTTGTAATGATATTTTAGGAAAGGAGTATTTGGCTCTAATTTCCCTCTTGGTCAATAAAATCTTGCTTTGAACCTCAGAGGCATAGAGATCAAAGTACTCAGTTAGGTACAGTGGAGAAAGGTCAAATACAGCATCTTGAAATAGAGTTTGGATTTTCCGAGTGACATCCAGCATGTTAGGTTCATCTGTGAAACTCTGCAAGCTAATGAAAATATCACAGAATTTGCGTTCCAGTGTAAAGAGCATGACACTATCTATTGAAGTTTTAGGGAAGTTTAACATATCGGAAAGTTGTTGAATACGTTCCCAAGACATCTTCTATCAAAAGTAGGTGACTAAAAGAATCTGTGATGAATTTTGAACTCCGATGTTTGATACTAAGACATTACATACTAATCAACATTTTATCAACTGTTCAACACTCTAGTTTCTCAAGTGTAGGGCCACATACATAAGCTTAAACATCTATTTTGAATTGGCAAGTTTGTTCAAGTCACAAAAGCATAATATATCTTAATATGCTACTCCATTATTGCCAACATTATAAGATAAACAATTCATAATTATACACTAAAAGCAACTTGATGACATGATTAATTAACAGCTAGTGTCCCGTGTGAACTCAACATTCTCTCTGACTGCTAATCCTAGGATGACTCACCTTTATTATTAAGATAAGAAGTATGTAATAAGGGGCAGCCAGCTTGGGCCCTATTCCGAAAGCTAGACTTATAATCTAGGAAGTAACAGAGTTCTATTCTTGGAAGTGTTTCGACTAACTATAAAGAGAGCTACTTGCTGAGACTAGGCCATTTAGAATAGTTTAGGTGTACAACGAACAAAAGGTGTCAAGTTCAGGGGATCCCAAACTATTAAGCCTTTTCTTAATATGTAACTGATAAGAGGGAGTTGCTCGGATGACAAACACCCCTCACTTCCAATCCTAACGTTGTGAGTTCGAGTCACCAAGGGAGCAAAGAAAGTGGGAGCTCCTAGGGAGGGAAAAAAAACTGATTAGAGAAGCTCAAACAATCATTAGATCTGAATAATCACACAAAAAAACAGTAAATAAAAGTGCTGCAATATGTTTATAGTTCACAAATCGAAGAGTATCTATTAAAAGAAGAAAATAAAAGTCTAGAAATACTAAAGACAGTTCCTATATATAATTATAGTTCAACTTGCAAGGAGCACAATATAAGGAACTAAACAATTAAGAGTATAGAATCACTCAAAAAATGAATACTTAGATCAATCTCTGGCTTCGACGAGTGATACAGTATGGATTTCAGCTACTAAGGATGATAAAACTTCCAAATGTTCAAGCATTCATGGGATCTATTGCTTTTCGCATAGCTACATTGACCTAAGGGTGGTCACTCGAACACCCTTTGTCGAAATATTATACTATGCATATAGAAGATAATACTATGAATATCGATCAAAAACAACTTCTTAGAGATATATACTGCAGTTTCAATTTTTAAACACCCTTGATCATATGATCACAAGAATATTAATTAAGGGGATGCAAATGGACATACACACGCATGCTTTCAATCTCTTTCAGGCATTTTATCAAACAGGTGATGGGCATCTCAATAGTCAATTAAAACTTACCAAATTTACCAGACGTGATTATTGTTTGGTAGTTGGTTAGAGTTAAACACATATTAGTAATGTATAAATTAGTAATGAGTGAACCTATGAAATATTTATACGGAATTAATTTTTCATGTATTAGTTATTTCACCTTCTATCCTGCATAAAATAATATATAGGTTCACTCATAATATTATATTAGTTATGTGGATAGTGGGTTACTAAATTGTCAATCTAATCTCGTATTAATTTTATATATAAATAACTTTTTTTTTCTACCATACCAAACGTTGTATAAATTATTGCCAGAATTCTTTAGCTTTAATAACAAGAGGGAAATAAACAAATGAATTACACATTAAAGTTAACAAAAAAGGTTCATAGACAAAGGTAACTTGTGGTCTACAAATTGGATAATTTTAGGAATAGTTATTTACTTTTATATATTTTATTTCACCAAAAAGTCGTTGAATCCTATCAACGTTACTTTTATTATATTTTACCAAAGGTTGTTGAGTCCCTATTGACATTGAGAGAGCATTAAATATCATGGTAGACTGGTGGTACGTCCTTTCAAGCTGGCACAAATGCTATTGAATGGGCTCTTTGTCACACCAAGGAGATTAAATTCTCGAATGAGACTAAGTAACTCTGACGGTCTTAATCTATTTTGATCGATTAAGATAAAAAAACTTATCTCTAAAGTGTAGGATATAGGGTTTGAGTGGCAAGCATTGGAAGGAATACAAAAATAGCATAAAAATAGGGTAGCCTAATGCACTAAGCTCTCGCTTTCTGCAAGAGGTATTTTCCACATGTCGAACTCGTACATGACCTTCTAGTTACATGACAACAACTTTACCGGTTACGTCAAAGTTCTTCCTCCATAGCATGAAAGATGAGTGTAAATGGACTAACGTAAGAAGAAAAAGAAATTTAGAAATATTATAAATAGCTCATATAATAACTATAGTCCAACATGGATTCAATGTTACTCAATACATTCAAGACCAAAAGTACATGATTTATTGATTAAGCTTCTAATAGAAGTACACACTGATCTTCTAGACAGCTCCTGATACAACTCTAGTCTTCATAATCTGTTAAAAAAGAAAAGGTTTCAATGAGTTAATTGCTCAAAAATGTTGTACTACTACAACAACAAACCCAAAAAGAAAGTAAGAGCACAATAATTTTTATTTTTTTGATAATTAACCATGGTATTTGGGCTAGCTTGTGCGCACTTTGAGTAATTCTAGGGGTACCTGCTACCTCCCACCAACATAGGTACCTGGTAACTCTGCCCACCATCGCATAGTGTTTTTGACACTACTGGATTTGAACTTGAGACCTCATGGGTCTCTTCTGAAGTCACTAGTTGATTTCTTTTGATCATCAGTTATCTAGTACATGTGCGGTTGGAGGTAGTAGGTACCTATAGAATTAGTCGAGGTGCACAATAGTATTTCAAACCTTGGTGCTATTTCAAGAACTTTTACCTTTAAAAATGGAAGTTAGAGTAACAGAAGAAATGAATTCACAGAGTTTTGGAATGTTCATAGTTAAATTTTATGAGTTGCGTACCTGAATCTGACTTGTTATTCTCTCTGGTGATAAAGACCTCGAACTTGGAATTCTGGTAATCTTCAACTTGTGTTTCCCTGATATCACTGGCTGACTTGTCAACATTTTCATTGCAATTCCTTACCGCAATGGACTTCAGAGAAGAGATTTCTCCAAACCAAGAAGGGATCTCCTTGAGAAATTTGCAATCCCTCAAAACCAAGTGTTCAAGGTTAGGAAAGGCATCATCCGCGACAAACCATTCTTCAAAGTGAGCTTTGCCAGCATGTAATTTCAAGACTCTGAGCTGAGGGAACTCGTCATCACGCACTTCCCATTTACAAGTTTCAAAGGAAATACCTTTCAGACTGAGCACTTGAAGGTTGTGAAGTGAACCAATTTCTGATAAATGCTGACAATGTAGGTAAAAGTTCTTCAGTGTCAAGTTTGTGAGATTTGGCGCAGAGATGCAGAAGGGGATTGTTTTAGTGTCACGTGTGTAGCTAAGATGAATCTTGAGCGTTTCAATCCGTGCTGGAAAGTTCAATACATAGCACTGAAAGTTATCAACACCCCTGACTTTGCATCTCAGTTCCAGAAGATTAGGTGTTTTTCTCAAAATCAATTCCGCTTCCTGAGCGCAAGAAAAACACGGAGTGGATAGAGTTTGCAGATCATCAAGGTCTTTGGAGTTCTCAATCAATTCTCTTGAAATTTCACTGGTGAAGCTGCAATTGGAAATATGCACATGTCTCAATTTATCCATCTCCCAGAGTGTAATGGGTAGTGACATTTCACTGAGAGATTTGAATTTCAGAGTTTCAAGTTCACGACAACCGGCTTTGTTTGAAAAGCGGGACGTTTCTGCAGCAAAATATCTGAGGTAGACTAGATCAAATGAGAAAGAGTTAATTCTAGTGAACTCCATATCTAACACTTTTAGAAACTTTACGCTGTGGAAAATGTGAGAGTCGAGGCCAACTGAAAGACGATTGTTATGCAAAATTATAGAGACAACATGTGACAAGCACGAGCTCCAATCTCCAGCACGATACCCTTCACCATAAATGCACATGCGATGAGCTAGTTGCTTGTGACCAGAAAGGCAAGAAGACGGATTGGCATTTTGATCCCTACAAATATATACAGAAATTAGTAAAATTATATGATTAAATGTCAATATAACTTGACTGTGCCAAAAGAGTAGCAATGATTGGTATATTACCATTTTTGCCATAGGAGACACATATCTTCCTTTGCTCTCTCCTTGCAGAAATCATGCAATAGGTCATGAATGCGACATGCTTTGATCTTACCACGAGAAGTCCTCTTCGTTCCCATCACTAGATTTCTACCAATAAGATTTTCCAAATAGCCTTCTGCTATGTCCTCCAAGCTCTTGCCTTCACAACTTTTTATGAATCCTTCTGAGATCCACAACTGTGTTAACTTCGGAACACTAATCACACTATCCTCTAAAAGTGCTCCAAAGTAAAGAAAGCAAGGCCTCAAACGATAGGGTAAAATCTGATAACTTTGTTCTATAATGGCCCTTGAGTCTTCATGAATGTGAGGACCTAAATTGTTGGCCAATTGTTCCCAACATTCTACTTTCTTCTCCATCTCAGCCAGAATACCAGCCACCAAAACAACTGAAAGAGGCAGTTGACCACACTTATTTGCTATTTGTTGCCCAATTTCTGTTAGGAGTGGAGAGCAACTTTCTTCACCAAACACTTTTTTTCGGAGTAACTCCCAACTTTCATCATTGTTAAACATACGAAGCGGAAGGGGATCACTTTGAAATCTAGTGTACATGGCAACTTCATGATTTCGCGTTGTTAGAATAATTCTACTTCCGTTATTGGCATCATGGAAAGAACCTATTAGATCATCCCACACACTAGTTTCCCACACATCATCAATAAGGATGAGATATCTTTTGGAAAATAAAGTTTTGCGAAGCTGATCAGCTAATTCATCAGCTTGTTTTTCTCTACACTCAAAGTTCTCACGGATAGCATCACGTAAAATTGCTATTAACAAGTCCTTACGTGAATATACCTGAGACACACAACACTGTGCATGGATTTCAAAGTGATCAGTGACTGACCTGTCATAGTAGAGTCTATAGGCCAAAGTTGTCTTGCCTAGACCTGGCATACCAACAACTGACATAACATCGCGCCCTTTCTTGCCTTTTATTAGTTGGTCTCTTAACTTTTCTATGACATCCTCAAAACCAATAATTTCTTCATTCATCATTGGAGACCTTGCCAAATTTGATGTATGAACTGGGACAGTGTTCAATGCTACCAAATCCATTTTCTTTTCACGAATCTCTGCTACCTCTTCTCTGATAAGAGTAATATCCTCTATGATATCCAAGATCCAATGCTCGAGGCAGCAGACAGGAGCTTCTTCCCTTATACAAGCATCAACTATATATTCTACCTCATGTGCTTTGCCAATCAATTGTGTAGCACAATGTTGAATTTCGTCAAGGTCATTGTGTCGCTCTTCTGCAACAGCCCGTAGAAAAGGTTGCAAGCTCTCAAATTCCTTCTGAAGTAATTGAAGTTTGTCCATGACAGAAGCTAGTGAATCTGAGTGGAGAATTTGGAACTTCTTCAGGTTGTTTAAAAGGCTATCAACATAGCCTAGTCCATGAATCCTAGGCAAATTAGATTGGAACGCCTTCCGAATGGTGAGGTAGATGTCTATGCTTAGACGTTGAATGTTGCTTGAAAAGTCAAGAACTTGTGTGATGTTCACTCCTCCCAGTGCCATGTCTTGCTTCTCCTCCTCATCTTCATATACTGAGTATACCATAAGTCCAACATCAATAACCACAATCTCTATATCTCGAAGAAGAAATTCAAGATCTTTTATTGGCATACGGAAGATATTGGCTCTCAAAAGGTTGAGCATCTTTTGAAGGATTTCCAAGTGATCCTTCAAAGCAACTCTCTGACTAGAGTTACTATTAGTTGGTACCTCCACCATATTGTGTAGGATGGTCTCCAAAAATCCCCCTTCGCTGTACAACTGCATCCTCATTTCGGATGTTGGGATACCATCCTGATTGTATTGTCGACTTTAAAGATAGCAAGACATCAAGATAGATCTTGCGGATGCATGGTTGAATCGGCTTAATCCTCATTCGCAAGAAATCAGAAAGCATAACATTCATTTGCTCTGGAGCCAAGTCCGGTACATACAACCAGAGAAGCATTGATGTGTGGACAGACACAGCTAAAACATGAGTGAAGAAAATAAGATGAAAAGAATAACTTTGATGCTCTATGAACCTCTGTGAAACAAAGTAGACGAAATTTCTCAGCAATTTCAATTCCTTTGAAACATCTTCTATATGTTCCTTTACTGTTTCGGGAACATAAAGAGGTGAATACGGATCATGAATCTTCACTAGACCACCAATATTCTCTAGCACAGAATGGATGATATCACTAACAAACTTGGCTGAAAGTTGTAATGATATTTTAGGAAAGGAGTATTTGGCTCTTATTTCCTTTTTGATTAACAAAATCTTGTTTTGCACCTCAGAGGCACAGACATCAAAGTTGTCAGTTAGGTGCAGTGGAGAAAGGATAAATGCAGCATCTTCAAACAGAGTTTGGACTTTCTGAGTGACATCTAGCATGTTAGGTTCATCTGTGAATCTCTGGAAGCTAATGAAAATTTGTGGAATTCGCGTTCCAGTGTGAAGAGCTGGAGTTTGTCTATCGAAATTTTAGGGATGGTTACAATATTGAACAGTCGTTGCGAATTTTCCCAAGACATCTCTTCTCTCAGTGAGTTGGTGACTAAAAGAATCTGTGATGCTTCTGCAAAGGGGAAGAAGGAGAGAGCAACTCAGATGCTTTCATACTGATTGCAACCAACAGATAGTTGTTAGACTAAAGGTATAAAGGAATTCAATGCATAAAGTCCTTGAGAGGCAGAAGCAGTACAAGTATCACTGTAACAAAAACAACTACTTTTAACGGACTGAAATCTACACAATTATTTGTAGAGTGAGTCCATTTCTCGTGCCATTTACAATAACGTTTTCCTTTTTCTTTCTTCTTTTTTAGGTATTTTTATGTCCAGGCAGACAGGTCAAAAGCTGTTGATAACCCGGCGGCTGCTTCAGAGCTTCAGATGCCCAAACCAGTCGGCCGCGATCTTACCTTCTCTCTTCTCTATGAGTATGCTTACAAAAGCACTGCCAATCCCTTTGAACAAGTATTTTTACTCACATTAGTTAATTATTATTAGATCTAATGTCGCTATAGGCTTTAGATACATTTACAAAGAGTGTTAATTACCACTAAAACTATATATATTTAGTGGCAATTAAACTATTATCATTATCTAACTGTTGCTAAATATCATTTTTGATGTAGTGTATATATCTCTTTCGAAGAGAGCGTTTTACCTATCTTATTTGAAGAATTTCCCCGTCATATCAAATCTATCTCATCATAATTAAAATCTTTCTATAATCACATAACTAAAAGTGCTAAGACTCAGAAATGCTTCAACTTTTTATCTTTCACTAAAAGACTCTAGAATATCCAAAATTATGATTTTCTATTTTTCTTATATTTAAAGTTAGGTTAGGAAAAAATGAACTACTGCTTTTATGTTTAGTAGTCTTATTTGTTTGTAATTAAATTTTAATTATTCAACTCCAAATCATCACTTTAATTAGATGTAGGATACTGATTCAAAAAAAATTCGCATCTCAATTATAGATAAATGAAATCATAAATTACCAGTCCACCATCGATTTGCCACCGGATTGCCGCTGCCAGTTAGGAGAATTGGAAAAAATGGAGACTTCGTGATAGAGCATTGGTATAGATCTGAAACTATTATATAAATGAAGATAATTTTCAAATTTTTTATTTAAGGCTTAGGTCATAGATAGTCATGTTCGCATATTTTACTTAAACACCTCAATTAAGATTTATACCTACGTAATAAAGTGTGTGACCGTGAAAAGGATAATTTTTTAGCAAAAAAAGAAAAGATTTTATATCTTCTTCTTCTTTGACAGAAAGCTCCCATCACCATTTTTCCATTGCAAGTTGCAGCCATCACCACTCATAATTTTTATTTATAACTTATTTTTATTAGTTATTCTAGTCCAACACATTTTTTATTAAAAATAATCCCTCACCCACCATGTCAGACTAATTTTTCGTTGTCTCTTAATTTTTTTTCCCTCTCTAAACCATTCTCCTTCAGTTTGATACCAAAAAACAACCAAAACCTTTTTGTTTTTTTCTCCTCAAAATTCCAATCTTTAGAAACTTATCAGCAAAAATACCATCTTTCACTCACCTCCCATGAACCCTTCAAGGTATATTCATTTCTCTTATTTAATATTTATTTATTTCATGTAAAAAATTAAATAAGTGTATTTAAATTAGCTTATTTTAAGTGATTTTTAGCTTCTTTTTTTTTTTTTTAAGTTTTAAAAGTATTTGTAAACGCAAAAAGTTTAAGGCTGAAAATAAACCCCAAATAAAGGGTCAAAAGTTAAGTGTTACCGATTTATAATTTTTAGTTTCGAATTTATAAGTTACTTATAAATATCTTCTTGAAAAATCTATTTTTTTTTTTACGTTCTTGGTATTTGTTGAGCTATAATCTTGACATTAGAAAGTTTTAATTATTTTTTCCCTCTTTTTATGGTATGGGAGAAGGGTATTTTTTGATTGAGTTGACTAAGTGGACAGTCAGAAATTTCATGAAGCATGTTCAAAAATTACATAAGCAATTTTTTTTTTTTGATGAATGGGTGCACTAAAATTTTAAATTCACACTGCGTAATATTAATATTTTTTTATGAATAAACGTACCAAAATTTTGAAAATCAAATTGTGTAATATTTTTGTTTAATTTGATATGAAGTGAACAAAATAGCAGAAAAATAAAAGGAGGGAGTAGGAGAAAATTCAACTTAAAATGAAATCATTTTTACATTTCAAGCTTTCATCGACTCTAATTACCAGGGTGTCCTTCCAAACAGGCCCTAAGTATATTTTTGTTGTTGTGTATTTCCAACTTGAAGGCAAGGCAACTTAGTATTGTCAATGACACATTTTTTAATTTCAGCTCTTAGTTTTTTAACAAAAATTAACAGAAGGATGCTTGTTGTCAAGTTTGGTATAGTTAAAAGATGTTTTTGTTCATAATTATAGTATAAGGATGTATACTAAGTTTGGGTTATACTTCAAGGATGATTTTAGCCCAAAACTGTGTGCAAAGTGTGATATTTAACCATTTATACTTATATACACGATATAATATTTCAGTGAAGGGTGTTCACCTGACCACCTCTGAGTTTGTTGATAAACTTTATTCATTGTACTTGCTATATCTTATTTGTATAAATATGGTTTTTTAAGCTTAAAAAATGTTTTGCAGGGTGAAGCATTCAGCTGAACCAGATCTGAGATTGTGAATGATTTTGGCAGTTTGGGGTTATCCTTCATGAGGTTCTTTTTAAACCTTAAGTTAGAATTAGGATAAAACAAACTTGGATTGTGTTGTATATGAAGTTTCTTGAGTATTAGTGTAGTTTTGAGTTGTTCCTCAGAGATATTATTTAGGATTTGTTTTGTTATCTGTTGGACATTTGGCTAAATTGTGGTGGAGAAGTAGAAAGGTTTAAAAATGCAGAGACCACCTCAAGAAGATTTTTCAGCCCACCTTGATGGAGGGAAGGTTACTGGTGATATGTTTACTAGGACCTATGATTTGGTTGAGCAAATGCAGTATCTTTATGTCCGGGTGGTGAAAGCGAAAGATTTACCTGGGAAGGATCTTGATCCTTATGTTGAGGTTAGGCTGGGAAACTATAGTGGTACAACTCGTCATTTTGTGAAGAAAACGAATCCTGAATGGAATCAGGTGTTTGCATTTTCAATGGATCAGATTCAGGTTTCCGTTCTTGAGGTGAACGTGAAAGATAAGGATGATTCTGTTGGTCGTGTTATGTTTGATTTGAATGAGATCCCTAAAAGGGTCCCCCCAGATAGTCCTCTTGCTCCGCAGTGGTATAGGTTGGAGGACGGAAGTGGTAGCAAAGTTAAAGGAGAGTTGATGATGGCTGTTTGGATGGGTACTCAAGCTGATGAAGCCTTTGCAGAATCTTGGCATTCGGATGCAGCCACTGTCAGTGGTGCTGATTCTCTTGTGAATATAAGGTCAAAGATTTACTTCTCACCAAAGCTGTGGTACCTTAGAGTTAATGTGATTGAGGCTCAGGACTTAATTTCCGCTGACAGAAGTAGGTTTCCAGAAGTTTACGTGAAGGCCATCCTTGGAAATCAGGAATTGATAACCAAAGTTTCCAGGAGCAAGACTATTAATCCCATTTGGAATGAGGATTTGATTTTTGTAGCAGCAGAACCATTTGAGGAGCCATTGATTTTGAGCGTGGAAGATAGAGTTGCACCAAACAAAGATGTAATACTTGGAAAATGTCTTATTCATTTGCAGTACATTGAGAGGAGGTTGAACCACAGACCTATGTACAGCAAGTGGTATAATCTTGAAAAGCATGCTATTGTTGAGGGAGAAAAGGAGAAGGAAACAAGCTTTGCAAGCAGGATTCAGATGAGGTTATATTTAGAAGGAGGGTACCATGTTCTGGATGAACCAATAGACTACAGTAGTGGTGATCTTAGACCAACTGCAAAACAGTTGCAGAAATCCAGCATTGGTGTCCTTGAATTGGGTATTCTGAATGCTCAGGGACTACCGCCGATGAAAACAAAGGATGGGAGGGCTTCGACAGATGCCTATTGTGTTGCCAAATATGGGCACAAGTGGGTCCAAACAAGGACAATTATAGATAGTCTTGCTCCCAAGTGGAACGAGCAATACACTTGGGAAGTATTTGATCCCTGCACTGTCATAACCATTGGTGTATTTGATAATTGTCATCTACATGGAGGAGATAAACCTGGAGGCCAGGCTAGGGACTCGAGGATTGGAAAGGTCAGGATCCGTCTTTCAGCTCTCGAGACAGATCGTGTCTACACATATTCTTATCCGCTACTGGTGTTGCATCCTACTGGGGTAAAGAAGATGGGTGAAATTCACTTGGCAGTTAGGTTTAATTGCTCATCATTAATGAATATGATGCATTTGTTCTCTCAGCCTCTGTTACCCAAAATGCACCATATTCATCCACTAATTGTTGAAGGTAATCAGTTTGAGAAACTAATTAAGCTGGACAACTTGAGGCATCAGGCTAGTCAGATGGTCTCTATGTGGTTGAGTCGTGCTGAGCCACCTTTGAGGAAAGAGATAGTGGAGTATATGTTAGATGTCAAGTCTGACATGTGGAGTATGAGGAAAATCAGAGCCAACTTTTTAAGAATTATGGATGTTTTAGGTGGATTAATTGCTATTTGGAAATGGTTTGATCAAATTTGCAATTGGAAAAATCCCATTACGACTCTTGTGATCCATGTCTTGTTCTTGATACTAGTTCTATATCCGGAGCTTATTCTGCCTACCATCTTCCTCTCGCTCTCCTTAATCGTAGTTTGGAACTATAGATATAGGCCTAGGCGTCCTCCCTTCATGGACATTCGTCTTTCTTGTGCTGATGATGCTCATCCTGATGAACTGGACGAGGAGTTTGATACTTTCCCTACTTCACGTCCAACTGATATTGTTCGGATAAGGTATGAGCGTTTGAAAAGTATTGCTGGAAGTTTTCAGAATGTGGTTGGTGACATGGCTAATCAAGGGGAGAGGCTGCACTCTTTGCTGTCATGGAGAGACCCTAGAGTGACCAAACTGTTTGTTATTTCCTGCTTGATTGCTGTCATTGTTCTCTATTTCATGGGTTTTCGAGTTGTGATTCTTGTCACTGGATTTTATGTGTTAAGACATCCATGGTTCCATCACAACCTACCATCTGCTCCACTCAATTTCTTCACAAGATTGCCTACCAGAATAGACTCTATGCTATGAGCTCTGCTTGCTACTTATTATCCATTCTCTCCTTTAGTTGTCGTTATTTAGAAAATAATGCATGCATTACCCTTGTCTATTACTACTACTTTGTTTGCTACTCTTTTCTAATCTATGTATAGCTGTGTATTGCTAATACCATGAATTTCTAAATATTCGCAATGCAATCGTTTTAATGCATGCATTAGCATGATTAATCACTCAATTGCCCCCTCAAAATCTTTCTTTTTTTTTTACATCTTTTCCACCATAATAGTGAAACATATCTTTGTAAATTTTTAATGCATGAAAATAATCTATGTATAATTGATGCAAGCATTACTAATACATTTTATTTAGCATTGTTCTTATACACTTTATCTAACGACTTTTGAAGTGTTAATTTAGGTAAACTATTAAAGTACTTATAAGCAATTGATTTTAAGGTAAAATGTTAAAAAAATCACAAGTTATAATTTTTAACTTATGAGTCAAAAGTTAGTCTTTAAATTATACGAAGTTATAATTTATCTACCTATGAAACATCATATAAATTATACGAAAATTAACATATGGATAATTTGTTTCTCATACAGCTACCAGACAACCCGTTGCACCTTGTTTGGATGGTTGATATCAATTATATTGTACTGTATTGTTAGTTTAAATTTTTATTTTATTTTTAAAAAAAATTCGTAGGGGAAGGGGAAATGAGGAAGAATCACGATGTGGGGAATCAAAGTCTCACCAACAAGATGGGAGTTCAGGAGCTTTTTTGCTTATACAAGCATCAACTATGTATTCTACCTCATGTGCTTTGCCAATCAATTGTGTAGCACAACGTTGAATTTCGTCGAGGTCATTGTTTCGCTCTTCTGCAACAACCTGTAGAAAAGGTTGCAAGTTCTCAAATTCCTTCTGAAGTAATTGAAGTTTGTCCATGACAGAAGCTAGTGAATCTGACTGGAGGATTTGGAACTTCTTCAGGTTGTTTAAAAGGCAATCAACATAGCCTAGTCCATGAATCCTAGGCAAATTAGATTGGAACGCCTTCCGAATGGTGAGGTAGATGTCTATGCTTAGACGTTGAATGTTGCTTAACAAATCAAGAACTTGTGTGATGTTCACTCCTCTCGGTGACAAATCAAGAACTTGGCTCTCAAAAGGTTGAGCATCTTTTGAAGGATTTCCAAGTGATCCTTCAAAGCAACTCTCTGACTAGAGTTACTATTAGTTGGCACCTCCACCAAATTGTGTACGATGGTCTCCAAAAACCTGCCTTCACTGTCAATTACATCCTCACTTCCGATGTTGGTACACCATCCTGATTGTATTGTCGACTTTAATGATAGCAAGACATCAACATAGATCTTGCAGATGCATGGTTGAATTGGCTTAATCCTCATTCGCAAGAAATCAGAAAGCATAACATTCATTTGCTCTGGAGCCAAGTCTGGTAAATACATCCAGATAAGCGTTGATATGTGGCCGGACACAGCTAAAACATGAGTGAGGAAATTAACATGATGTTGGCTCTGAGGCTCTATGAACTTCTCTGCTGCAAAGCAGACAAAATTTAGCAGCAATTTCAATTCCTTTGAAACATCTTCTATATGTTCCAATACTGTTTCGGGAATATAAAGAGGTGAATATGGATCATGAATCTTCACTAGACCACCAATATTCTCTAGCACAGAAGGGATGATATCCTTAACAAACTTGGCTGGAAGTTGTAATGATATTTTAGGAAAGGAGTATTTGGCTCTAATTTCCCTCTTGGTCAATAAAATCTTGCTTTGAACCTCAGAGGCATAGAGATCAAAGTACTCAGTTAGGTACAGTGGAGAAAGGTCAAATACAGCATCTTGAAATAGAGTTTGGATTTTCCGAGTGACATCCAGCATGTTAGGTTCATCTGTGAAACTCTGCAAGCTAATGAAAATATCACAGAATTTGCGTTCCAGTGTAAAGAGCATGACACTATCTATTGAAGTTTTAGGGAAGTTTAACATATCGGAAAGTTGTTGAATTCGTTCCCAAGACATCTTCTCTCAAAAGTAGGTGACTAAAAGAATCTGTGATGAATTTTGAACTCAGATGTTTGATACTACGACATTACATGCTAAGTAACATTTTATCAACTGTACAACACACTAGTTTCTCAAGTGTAGGGCCACTGACATAAGCTTAAAAATCAATTTTGAATTGGCAAGTTTGTTCAAGTCACAAAAGCATAATATATCTTAATATGCTACTCCATTATTGCCCACATTATAAGATAAACAATTCATTATTATACACTAAAAGCAACTTGATGACATGATTAATTAGTTGAGCCGATTAATTAACAGCTAGTGTCCCGTGTGAACTCAGCATTCTCTCTCTGACTGCTAATCCTAGGATGACTCACCTTTATTATTAAGATAAGAAGTATGAACCAGCTTGGGCCCTATTCAGATAGCTAGACTTATAATCTAGGAAGTAACAGAGTTTTATTCTTGGAAGTGTTTTGACTGACTATAAAGAGAACTACTTGCTGAGACTAGGCCATTTAGAATAGTTCAGGTGTACACCGAACAAAAGGTGTCAAGTTCAGGGGATCCCGAACTATTAAGCCTTTTCTTAATATGTAACTGATAAGAGGGAGTTGCTCGGATGGTAAACACCCCTCACTTCCCATAGTAACGTTGTGAGTTCGAGTCACCAAGGGAGCAAAGAAAGTGGGAGCTCCTACGGAGGGAAAAAAAACTGATTAGAGAAGCTCAAACAATCATTAGATCTGAATAATCACACAAGAAAACGGTAAATAAAAGTGCTGCAATATGTTTATAGTTCACAAATCGAAGAGTATCTATTAAAAGAAGAAAATAAAAGCCTAGAAATACTAAAGACAGTTCATATATATAATTATAGTTCAACTTGCAAGGAGCACAATATAAGGAACTAAACAATTAAGAGTATAGAATCACTCAAAAAATGAATACTTAGATCAATCTCTGGCTTCGACGAGTGATACAGTATGGATTTCAGCTACTAAGGATGATAAAACTTCCAAATGTTCTAGCATTCATGGGATCTATTGCTTTTCGCATAGCTACATTGACCTAAGGGTGGTCACTCGAACACCCTTTGTCGAAATATTATACTATGCATATAGAAGATAATACTATGAATATCGATCAAAAACAACTTCTTAGAGATATATACTGCAGTTTCAATTTTCAAACACCCTTGATCACATGAATATTAATTAAGGGGATGCAAATGGACACACACACACATGCTTTCAATCTCTTTCAGGCATTTTATCAAACATGTGATGGGCATCTCAATAGTCAATTAAAACTAACCAAATTTACCTCACACAATTATCGTTTGGTAGCTGGTTAGAGTTATGTACATATTAGTAATGTATTAATTAGTTATGAGTGAACCAATGTATTATTTTAGACTTAAGTCATCTGAGGCCCCTTAAAGTTGTCTGCATAATTCACTTAGACACCTCAACTAAGGTTTGTACCTATTGAACACCTCTACCATTCTGAATTTGATCCATTTGAACATTTTTTGCCTAGGTGGCACATTGTTTGTGATTCACACCCTTTAGGCGCGTGAAAGGTTTTAAATTGAGCGTTTTTTTTTTGGAAAAAAAATATTATTTCTTCTTCATCTTCTTTGGCATCCCTTCCTCCGTTGTCCTCCATATTAGGATTGGCTGACCACCATTCCACCATTATCACCGTCATTTTCATCATGTTTAATTTGTAAAGTGCTTTAAGTTTTGGGTCTGTCTCTTTGCTGTTAATTTAGTAATTTGGTGTTAAATTTTTATTTATTATTTGCTTTGGTCAAATTTTTATTGAAGTTTTTTGATTTGTCCTGAATGTGTTGTTTTGACTTTAAATTGATGTATATTGGCAGAATGTAAGGATGTTCTTATGAAACACAAAAAAATCGAAATAACTCCATTTTTTCCGACAATGACAATCGGAACTTATTAATTTTCCGGCGAGATTTTTTTCCCCATCTTTCTCTACCTAAAACGAGACGAAGAAGAAAGTTATAATTGAAAAATAGGCTAATGGAAAAGAAGATTTGTCGTGTTGGAGATGGCACTGTACAGGGAGAGGGAGGGTCGCCATTAACGGGGTGGTATTGTAGAGGGAAATGTGAGTTGGGCTTCAGTGGATAGCAGGGGAAGTGGGGTGGTTTAAGTTCAAGTTTTTTTTCATTTTTTTTTAACTTTAAAATAATTTCCTTTTTTTTTTACTTTTAATATAATGTTTAAATAATTTTTTGGATTAAAAAATTACACATGTCAGTATATAATTAGTCAAATTGACATGTCAGCGCGAGTGTATTTCACACATTTTCTACTTTTGGCTTATTCTCAAAAAAATGTTCAAATGGTTCAAATTCAGAATGGTAGAGGTGTTCAATAGATACAAGCCTTAGATGAGGTGTCTAAGTGAATTATGCGGACAACTTTAAGGGGCCACTGATGACTTAAGCCATTATTTTATATGGAATTAGTTTTTCATGTATTAGTTATTCCACCTTCTATCATGCATAAAATAATATATAGGTTCACTCATAATATTAGTTATGTGGATTGTGGGTTACTAAATTGTCAACCAAATCTTGTATTAATTTTATATATAAATAACTTTTTTTTCTACCATACCAAATGTTGTATAAATTATTGCCAGACTTCTTTAGCTTTAATAACAAGAGGGAAATAAACAAATGAATTACTCATTAAAGTTAACAAAAAAGGTTCATAGACAAAGGTAACTTGTGGTCTACAAATTGGATAATTTTAGGAAGTAGTTACTTTACTTTTATATATTTTATTTCACCAAAAAGTCGTTGAATCCTTATCGACGTTACTTTTATTATATTTTACCAAAAGTTGTTGAGTCCCTATTGACATTGAGAGAGCATTAGATATCATGGTAGTACGTCCTTTCAAGCTGGCACAAATGCTATTGAATGGGCTCTTTGTCACACTAAGGAGATTAAATTCTCGAATGAGACTAAGTAACTTTTGACGGTCTTAATCTATTTTGATCGATTAAGATAAAAAACTTATCTCTAAAGTGGAATCTACTTGACGTGACCCCGAGATAGGATAGAGGGTTTGAGTAGCAGGCATTGGAAGGAATACAAAACGAGTACAAAATTAGGGTAGCCTAATGCACTAAACTCTCTGCGAGAGGTATTTTCCACATGTCGAACTCGTACATGACCTTCTAGTTACATGACAACAACTTTACCGGTTACGTCAAAGTTCTTCCTCCATAGCATGAAAGATGAGTGTAAATGGACTAACGTAAGAAGAAAAAGAAATTTAGAAATATTATAAATAGCTCATATAATAACTATAGTCCAACATGGATTCAATGTTACTCAATACATTCAAGACCAAAAGTACATGATTTCTTAATTAAGCTTCTAAAAAAAGTACATACTGATCTTCTAAACAGCTCCTGATACAACTCTAGTCTTCATAATCTGTTAAAAAAGAAAAGGTTCCAATGAGTTAATTGCTCAAAAATGTTGTACTACTACAATAACATACCCAAACAGAAAGTAAGAGCACAATGATTTTTTTTTTTTTGGTATAATTAACCATGGTATTTGGGCTAGCTTGTGCGCACTTTTGAGTAATTCTAGGGGTACCTGCTTTCTCCCACCAACATAGGTACCTGGTAACTCTCCCCATCATCGCATAGTGTTTTTGCCTCTACTGGATTTGAACTTGAGACCTCATGGGTCTCTTCTGAAGTCACTAGTTGATTTCTTTTGATCATCAGTTATCTAGTACATGTGCGGTTAGAGGTAGTAGGTACCTATAGAATTAGTCGAGGTGCACAATAGTATTTCAAACCTTGGTGCTATTTCAAGAATTTTACCTTTAAAAAAGGAAGTTAGAGTAACAGAAGAAATGAATTCACAGAGTTTTAGAATGGTCATAGTTAAATTTTATGAGTTGCGTACCTGAATCTGACTTGTTATTCTCTCTGGTGATAAAGACCTCGAACTTGGAATTCTGGTAATCTTCAACTTGTGTTTCCCTGATATCACTGGCTGACTTGTCAACATTTTTATTGCAATTCCTTACCTCAATGGACTTCAGAGAAGAGATTTCTCCAAACCAAGAAGGGATCTCCTTAAGAAATTTGCAATCCCTCAAAACCAAGCGTTCAAGGTTAGGAAAGGCATCATCCGCGACAGACCAATTTTCAAAGTGAACTTTTCCAGCATGTAATTTCAAGACTCTGAGCTGAGGGAACTCGTCATTGCGCACTTCCCATTTATAAGTTTTAAAGGAAATACCTTTCAGACTGAGCACTTGAAGGTTCTGAAGTGAACCAATTTCTGATAAATGCTGATGATATAGGTAAAAGTTCTTCAGTGTCAAGTTTGTGAGAGTTGGCGCGGAGATGCGGAAGGGGATTGTTTTAGTGTCAGGTGTGTAGCTAAGATGAATCTTGAGCGTTTCAATCCGTGCTGGAAAGTTCAATACATAGCGCTGAAAGTAATCAACACCCTTGACTTTGCATCTCAGTTCCAGAAGATTAGGTGTTTTTCTCAAAATCAATTCCGCTTCCTGTGCACAAGAAAAACACGGAGTGGATAGAGTTTGCAGATCATGAAGGTCTTTGGAGTTCTCAATCAATTCTCTTGAAATTTCACTGGTGAAGCTGCAATCGGAAATATCCACATGTCTCAATTTATCCATCTCCCAGAGTGTAATGGGTAGTGACATTTCACTGAGAGATTTGAATTTCAGAGTTTCAAGTTCCCGACAACCGGCTTTGTTTGAAAAGCGAGACGTTTCTGCAGCAAAATACCTGAGGTAGACTAGATCAAATGAGAAAGAACTAATTCTAGTGAACTCCATATCTAACACTTTTAGAAACTTGAAGCTGTGGAAAATGTGCGAGTCGAGGCCAACTGAAAGACGATTGTTATGCAAAATTATAGAGACAACATGTGACAAGCACGAGCTCCAATCTCCAGCACGATACCCTTCACCATAAATGCACATGCGATGAGCTAGTTGCTTGTGACCAGAAAGGCGAGAAGACGGATTGGCATTTTGATCCCTGCAAATATATACAGAAATTAGTAAAATTATATGATTAAATGTCAATATAAGTGAAAAGAGTAGCAATGATTGGTATATTACCATTTTTGCCATAGGAGACGCATATCGTCCTTTGCTCTCTCCTTGCAGAAATCATGCAATAGGTCATGAATGTGACATGCTTTGATCTTACCACGAGAACTCCTCTTGGTTCCCATCACTAGATTTCTTCCAATAAGATTTTCCAAATAGCCTTCTGCTATATCCTCCAATCTCTTGCCTTCACAACTTTTTACGAATCCTTCTGAGATCCACAACTGTGTTAACTTTGGAACACTAATCACACTATCCTCTAAAAGTGCTCCAAAGTAAAGAAAGCAAGGCCTCAAACGATAGGGTAAAATCTGATAACTTTGTTCTATAACGGTCCTTGAGTCTTTGTGAATGTGAGGACCTAAATTGTTGGCCAATTGTTCCCAACATTCTACTTTCTTCTCCATCTCAGCCAGAATACCAGCCACCAAAACAACTGAAAGAGGCAGTTGACCACACTTATTTGCTATTTGTTGCCCAATTTCTGTTAGGAGTGGAGAGCAACTTTCTTCACCAAACACTTTTTTTCGGAGTAACTCCCAACTTTCATCACTGTTAAACATACGAAGCAGAAGGGGATCACTTCGAATTTTAGTGTACATGGCAACTTCATGATCCCGCGTTGTTAGAATAATTCTACTTCCGTTATTGGAATCACGGAAAGAACCTCTTAGATCATCCCACACACTAGTTTCCCACACATCATCAACAAGGATGAGATATCTTTTGGAAAATAAAGTTTTGCGAAGAAGATCAGCTAATTCATCAGCTTGTTTTTCTCTACACTCAAAGTTCTCACTGATAGCATCACGTAAAATTGCTATTAACAAGTCCTTACGTGAATATACTTGAGACACACAACACTGTGCACGAATTTCAAAGTGCGAAGCGACTGACTTGTCATAGTAGAGTCTGTAGGCCAAAGTTGTCTTGCCTAGACCTGGCATACCAACAACTGACATAACATCGCGCCCTTTCTTGCCTTTTATTAGTTGGTCTCTTAACTTTTCTATGACATCCTCAAAACCAATAATTTCTTCATTCATCATTGGAGACCTTGCCAAATTTGATGTATGAACTGGGACAGTGTTCAATGCTACCAAATCCATTTTCTTTTCACGGATCTCTGCTACCTCTTCTCTGATAAGAGTAATCTCCTCCATGATATGTATGATCCAATGCTCGAGGCACCAGACAGGAGCTTCTTCCCTTATACAAGCATCAACTATGTATTCTACCTCATGTGCTTTGCCAATCAATTGTGTAGCACAATGTTGAATTTCGTCGAGGTCATTGTGTCGCTCTTCTGCAACAGCCTGTAGAAAAGGTTGCAAGCTCTCAAATTCCTTCTGAATTGATTGAAGTTTGTCCATGACAGAAGCTAGTGAATCTGAGTGGAGGATTTGGAACTTCTTCAGGTTGTTTAAATGGCAATCAACATAGCCTAGTCCATGAATCCTAGGCAAATTAGATTGGAACGCCTTCCGAATGGTGAGGTAGATGTCTATGCTTAGACGTTGAATGTTGCTTGACAAATCAAGAAATTGTGGGATGTTCACTCCTCCTGGTGCCATGTCTTCCTTCTCCTCCTCATCTTCATATAATGAGTATACCAGAAGTCCAACAATCAATAACCACAAATCTCTATATCTCGAAGAGAAATTCAAGATCTTTTATTGGCACACGGAAGATATTGGCTCTCAAAAAGGTTGAGCATCTTTTGAAGGATTTCCAAGTGATCCTTCAAAGCAACTCTCTGACTAGAGTTACTATTAGTTGGTACCTCCACCATATTGTGTAGGATGGTACTCCAAAAATCCCCCTTCGCTGTCAACTGCATCCTCATTTCGGATGTTGGGATACCATCCTGATTGTATTGTCGACTTTAATGATAGCAAGACATCAAGATAGATCTTGCAGATGCATGGTTGAATCGGCTTAATCCTCATTCGCAAGAAATCAGAAAGCATAACATTCATTTGCTCAGGATCCAAGTCCGGTAAATACAACCAGAGAAGCATCGATGTGTGGACAGACACAGCTAAAACATGAGTGAAGAAAATAATATGATGTTGGCTCTGATTCTCTAGGAACCTCTCTGAAACAAAGTAGACGAAATTTAGCAGCAAATTCAATTCCATTGAAACATCTTCTATATGTTCCACTACTGTTTCGGGAACATAAAGAGGTGAATATGGATCATGAATCTTCACTAGACCACCAATATTCTCTAGCACAGAATGGATGATATCACTAACAAACTTGGCTGAAAGTTGTAATGATATTTTAGGAAAGGAGTATTTGGCACTTATTTCCTTCTTGATCAACAAAATCTTGTTTTGCACCTCAGAGGCACAGACATCAAAGTTGTCAGTTAGGTACAGTGGAGAAAGGATAAATGCAGCATCTTCAAACAGAGTTTGGACTTTCTGAGTTGACATCTAGCATGTTAGGTTCATCTGTGAATCTCTGCAAGCTAATGAAAATTTTGTGGAATTCGCGTTCCAGTGTGAAGAGCTGGAGTTTTGTCTATCGAAATTTTAGGGATGGTTACAATATTGAAAAGTCGTTGCGAATTTTCCCAATTCATCTCTTCTCTCAGTGAGTTGGTGACTAAAAGAATCTGTGATGCTTCTGCAAAGAGGAAGAAGGAGAGAGCAACTCAGATGCTTTCATACTGATTGCAACCAACAGATAGTTGTTTATACTAAAGATATAAAGGAAGTTCAATGCATAAAGTCCTTGAGAGGCAGAAGCAGTACAAGTATCAATACAACAAAAAATAACTTTTAGCCGCAATAAATATACATATTAGTAAGTCCTTGAGAGGTAGAAGCAGTACAAGTATCACTGTAAAAAAAACAACTACTTTTAACGGAATATACACATTAATAAAGAGTGTTAAAGTCTTTACTCACATTAGTTAATTATTATTAGATCTAATGTCGCTATAGGCTTTAGATACATTTACAAAGAGTGTCTAAAACTATATCTATGTAGCGGCAATTAAACTATTACCATTATCTAATTGTTGCTAAATATAATTTTTGATGTAGTGTATGTATCTTTCGAAGAGAGCGTTTTACCTATCTTATTTGAAGAATTTCCCCGTCATATCAAATCTATCTCATAATTAAAATCTTTCTATAATCACATAACTAAAAGTGCTAAGACTCAGAAATACTTGAACTTTTTATCTTTCACTAAAAGACTCTAGAATATCCAAAATTATGATTTTCTATTTTTCTTATATCCAAAATTAGGAAAAAATGAACTACTGCTTTTATGTTTAATAGTCTTATTTGTTTGTAATTAAATTTTAATTATTCAACTCCAAATCATCACTTTAATTAGATGTAGGATACTTATTCAAAAAATTTCGCATCTCAATAATACATAATGAAATCATAAATTACCAGTCCACCATCGATTTGCCACCGGATTGCCGCCGCCAGTTGGGAGAATTTGTGATAGAGCATTGGTATAGATCTGAAACTATAAGTGATCCGTTGGTAAGGATGGTTTTTTATCTCTAAAAAATTATTTATAACTTATTTCTAGGCACACACATTTTTTATTAAAAAATAATCCCTCACCTACCATGTTAAACCCATCATATAATTTTTCGTTGTCTCTTCACTTTTTTTCTCTCTCTCTTAACCATTCTCCCTCACTTTGATACCAAAAAGCAACCAAAACCTAATTGTTATTTTCTACTCAAAATTCCAATCTTTAGAAACTTATCAGCAAAAATACCATCTTGCACTCACCTCCCATGAACCCTCCTTCAAGGTATATTCATTTCTCTTAATTAATATTTATTTATTTCATGTAGAAAAATTAAACAAGTGTATATGAATTAGCTTATTTTAAGTGATATTTAGCTTCTTCTTTTTTTTCTTTTAAGTTTTAGAAGTATTTGTAAACGCAAAAAGCTTTAAGGCTGACAACACACCCCAAAAAAAGGGTCAAAAGTTAAGTGTTACCGATTTATAATTTTTAGTTTCGAATTTATAAGTTACTTATAAATATCTTTTTGAAAAATCTTTTTTTTTTTTGACGTTCTTGGTATTTGTTGAGCTATAATCTTGAGATTAGCAAGTTTTAATTATTTTTTCCCTCTTTTTATGGTATGGGAGAAGGGTATTTTTTGATTGAGTTGGCTAAGTGGGGAATTAGAAATTTCATGAAGCATGTTCAAAAATAACATAAGCAATTTTTTTTTTTGATGAATGGGTGCACTAAAAATTTTAAATTCACACTGCGTAATAATAATATTTTTGTATGAATAAACGTACCAAAATTTTGAAAATCAAATTGTATAATGTTTTTGTTTAATTTGATATAAAGTGAACAAAATAGCAGAAAAATAAAAGGAGGGAGTAGGAGTAAATTCAACTTAAAATGAAATCATTTTTACATTTCAAGCTTTCATCGACCTTGATGAAAACAACAATAACAACGAAACATGAAAAAGGAAGCAGAATCAAACGAGGTCTTCTTTTATTCAATTTTAGCAATGATATAGAATTTTTTTAGAAGTTGCTTATTAACTTTAAATTAAATAATTATGTATAAGTTTTATTTTAAATTTTTAATGAAAAGAAATGGAAAGTCAAAGTCAAAGTCAAATTCATTGAAATTTGAATTATTTCAAAAATAACGAATTTATTAACTATTATTTAGAAAGTAATTTAACGCTCACACTACGTCTGGGCATTTCCGTAGAGCCTTTAACCACTGGGATGTACCACCTTGTTGTTAAGGGGACTTTTAAGCTAAAATCACTCTTGAATTATAGCCCAAACTTAGGATAAATCCCTATACTATAATTGCGAATCAAAAAAACATATTTTTGTTAAAAGCAAAAAGTCTCACATTTGTGGTTAATGAGATGGATGAACTACTTATAAGGCTTGGTCAATCTTGCTTCCTCTGAGCTAACTTTTAAGGTGTGAGTTAGGCCTAAAACCTAATTTCACATGATATCAGAGCAGGACCCATCTCACCTTATGTTGGGGCCCAAAAAAATAATAAAAAAGAGTAAATTTTAGGATTAGCAAATATAAAAATTATATTTGTAAGTTGTAGCTATAGAGTGCTATGAAGCATCAGATTTGTATCATTGGCATCCTCTCATTTGTATAAATCGCTGGCAGCCTCTCGTTTGTATAAATCGTTGGCAGCCTCTCAATTCAATTCTATGTGTTTGCATATCTGCATAAAATTTGAATTTGTATACAATTGAATCGAAATAAAACACATTTGTTTATCAAATCTCTCTCTCTCGCTTTATACAAAAGCGAGAAAGAGAGAAAGGCAGAAGAGAACTGCACTGAGGAAGATCTGTATTTGTATAATTAGAAGTGTATAAGACGAAAATATATGTATTTGTATATGTAGTTTTCTCTCGCTTTATACAAACACAAACGCAATTTATACATTTGTGTTTGTATAAAGTGAGAGAGGCGAGGGAGAGACTGGCGAGCGAGAAATCTAAGGAGAGAGGCGAATGACAACTGTTTGCTACGGGTTACAATTAAATCAAACTTTGGTTACAACATTTAATTTAAATTAATAGTTTTTTATTTTATACAATTTTCCCGAAAACAAAATTGTCCAAAATTGCCCACGCAACTTGTGCAATCCTCCTCCTTTTGGGGTGTGAGTTAAGTCTGAGACCTAATTTCACAATTTTAACTATCCAAAACTTTGCAATAACCATCCTTCTGTAAACTTCAATTTTAACTATCCAAAACTTTACAATAACCATCTTTCTGTTAACTTTTGTTAGTTTTTGAGGTGTGAGTTAAGTCTAATACCTAATTTCACAATTTTACCTACCCAAAACTTTGCAATAACCATCCTTGTGTTAACTTTTGTTAAAAAACGAAAAGTTGAAATAAAAATATGTGACTTCCCAAAATCTCCATATTCTATCGAATTGATTTCCTCTCAATTCCCACCGGATCATCTTCCATATTTAGCAGAGCTTTTGGCTTCAAAAACAAAATTTTCTGTCCTTCTAAACTTTAGCAACCAAATAAGTTGTTTTCAAGAATAACTGAAGCTAGGGCTGGTTTCTATAACTTGTCTTTGTGTGCCTCAGTTGGTTTTGGTGTTGTTTTACTAAGGGTTTGTTTGGAAAGCCACCTGGTAATTGAAATTGGTGTAATTACTAGGGTAGTAATTACCATCCTATTAATTACACTGTCTAGTAATTACACTGACTTGTTTGGTTGCCACAATATATGGTAACATGTCCTGTTTGGATGCCACAGTGTAATTACGCATGTTCTGTTTGGATGGACAATTGCAATCATAAAATTATATTAAATTTTTAAAAAATAAAAAATTAATTATTTAAAAATTGATACTAGACAAATAAGAAACTTTATAAATGACATTAAATTAAATAATTAAGATATAAAACATATATTCTTTAACCTATATTATGAAAAAATAATTGATTTATTTTTTTCAAATTAATATATTTCAATTGAATTGATCGTAGAAACTACAAGTATGAAGTTTCTACGAACATCGTGAAATGCATGTTTGATAAAAAAGATTAATATATAAATAAAATGTCATAAATTATTAAATGTTTGACAAAAAGATAATCTATCAAGTTTAATTAAAAAATGACGTGCAATATGAATTCAATATTACTAAAACAAATGAAACTGAAAATATAACATAAGTTATAAATTCAAAACAAAAAATTTAACATGATACTCTTATAGCAAATTTGAACATAGCATGCATAAATATATTTATTTTTATTTTTTTCTTAAAAAAGAAAACGTAAGTCTTTAACCTTACTTAACAATAAATTCTATTTTAATTTAAAAATTAGAATACTAATAAAATTATGCTAATGAGAAAATAAGCATGGCATAAATAAATAGATAATACGAAAAAAATGCATAAAATCATGTAAAGTAAGGTTGAGAACAAGAAGAAAATGAAATATAATAATATAAAATAAAAAATAAATTTTCAATTTTTTTTAGAATAATAATAAAATAAAAACTTAAAATAATAGAAGTAAAAAAATTAAAACAAAAAAATAAAAATAGAAATAAATTTTTTTTTAAAAAAGTAATCAGCTGGTAATTACACTTCACAACCTCTGCTTGTGAATTGTAGAGTGTAATTACCCTACCAATTACACCCATTACCTATTGACCTACTAATTACCTGTCCAACCAAACAGGACAGACAATGTAATTACATTCAATTACACCAAATCCAATTACCAGGGTGTCCTTCTAAACAGGTCCTAAGTATATTTTTGTTGTTTTGTATTTCCAACTTGAAGACAAGGCAACTTAGTATTGTCAGTGACACATTTTTTTAATTTCAGCTCTTAGGTTTTTAACAAAAATTAACAGAAGGATGTTTGTTGTCAAGTTTGGTATAGTTAAAAGATGTTTTTGTTCATAATTATAGTATAAGGATGTATACTAAGTTTGGGTTATACTTCAAGGATGATTTTAGCCCAAAACTGTTCGCAAAGTGTGATATTTAACAATTTATACTTATATACACGATATAATTTTTCGGTGAAGGGTGTTCACCTGACCACCTTTGAGTTTGTTGATAAACTTTATTCATTGTACTTGCTATATCTTATTTGTATAAATATGGTTTTTTAAGCTTAAAAAATGTTTTGCAGGGTGAAGCATTCAGCTGAACCAGATCTGAGATTGTGAATGATTTTGGCAGTTTGGGGTTATCCTTCATGAGGTTCTTTTTAAACCTTAAGTTAGAATTAGGATAAAACAAACTTGGATTGTGTTATATATGAAGTTTCTTGAGTATTAGTGTAGTTTTGAGTTGTTCCTCAGAGATATTATTTAGGATTTTTTTTGTTATCTGTTGGACATTTGGCTAAATTGTGGTGGAGAAGTAGAAGGGAAGATTACTGGTGATATGCTTACTTGGCTCTGTGATTTGGTTGAGCAAATGCAGTATCTTTATGTCCGGGTGGTGAAGGCGAAATATTTACCTGGGAAGGATCTTAATCCTTACGTTGAGGTTAGGCTGGGAAACTATAGTGGTACAACTCGTCATTTTGTGAAGAAAACGAATCCTGAATGGAAGCAGGTGTTTGCATTTCCAATGGATCAGACTCAGGTTTCCGTTCTTGAGGTGAACGTGAAAGATAAGGATGATTCTGTTGGTCGTGTTATGTTTGATTTGAATGAGATCCCTAAAAGGGTCCCCCCGGATAGTCCTTTTGTTCCGCTGTGGTATAGATTGGAGGACGGAAGTCGTAGCAAAGTTAACGGAGAGTTGATGATGACTGTTTGGATGGGTACTCGAGCTGATGAAGCCTTTGCAGAATCTTGGCATTCGGATGCAGCCACTGTCAGTGGTGCTGATGCTCTTGCGAATATAAGGTCTAAGGTTTACCTCTCACCAAAGCTGTGGTACCTTAGAGTTAATGTGATTGAGGCTCAGGACTTAATTTCCAGTGACAGAAGTAGGTTTCCAGAAGTTTACGTGAA